AAGCCATCAAAAGAATCATTTTGTGATTTACTGCTACAATTAATAATTGTTCCAGTAAATGCCCAAACCCTACAGAACTGGTGCCTTCAGAGAGCACACTACACCGGGTTCTCACGAAACGGCATTCGGGTGACGTCTGCGTCTGGCTTTTAAGGCGGAATGGAAATAGGGAACAGGTGCAGGTAATGGGAGAAAACAAGGAAGGGCTGGAGCGCCCTTAAGAGGAGGGGTTTGCGATCATGACAAAAGGTTTGTCCTGAGTAGAATTGATGGCTGCTGAAAAGCCTGAATTACAGTCGTTTATAAGTACTATCTCTAGCAATGACAATCCAGAGTACTGGGGCAGTATTGAAAAATTGAAAAATTGGATTTTAATCAAATTGAAAAAGTTCAGGTAGAACTGTGAATGCAGTATGGATTCTATTGATTTTCGCTTTAAACCTCTCAAAGCCTCGAATTGACTTCAGCCGAGTTGGAGAAAGGTCAAAAGCTTCAGACTAAATTTGAACGAGTTGATTTATTAGAGATAATCAAGAAAACGAAAGTGGAGAATGAAAATAAGTGAAGCCCAACTCGAAGAGGCTTTAGTGAAATTGGAGGACCTGTCTGCATAAGAAACTGGTGCTGAGGAGGCTAGGAGCGAACTAGAGGCTAGACTGCATTGAAGGGGAACTGGAGAGTTTGTACGAGCGTAATCAGAAAATACACAAGGATTTGTTACACGTAAGTGAGGATAAAGAAATGTTTAAACAGAAACTAGATGCTGCCCTGCGGGAAGCAAAACAAATCAGGCAGAGCCTGATCAGGCAAAACAAATCAGCAAAACAAATCAGGCATCACCGCAAAGAGCCCTCAGTAGCACTCATTCAGCCTGGAGCTAAGGGTTTCGCCTGAGAGAGAGTTTTTCCGGCCAGGTTCTATACCAGAGTCAGCGTGGGGTAGATCGCCAAGCCGTGAACAATATTCTAGGGCAATTCAATTCAACCCTCCAGCCCCGATCTCGGCCATCTCCCCGTCAGCAGAGAAGCTGGGAAAATTAACCTCCACCTGTTGAGACAGCTAGCGAAAGATACAGAGAGATTTGACCCAACGGCATCAGAGAATAATGTTTAGATCTATATAGATGAGCTGAAACATACACTGCATTTTTATCTCAGAAGCCACAGAACAGGAGAAAGTTATGTTGGTAAGAAAAACTATCAGCCAAGCGGTACACGAGTGAATGAATAGGCAGGGACCAGAGGTCTGTAATAGCTTTGTGGGGCTTTGACATTTGACGTATGTGGAATCTATCTCTGCTCTGGCTGCCGCTCATCACGTTCACCACGAGAGAGCTGAGTCCCCTCTTGAATATTACGAAAGACTTAGATGCACTTCTTCGAAAAAGGGTTGTGAAGAGAAGGGTTTACTCATTGCAAATCTTTATCCGTAGGTTAGAAAAATGATTGTGATGCATGCTGATGCACAAATGATGAAAATAGCTGATATTAGGAAATTATATCCATGTATTTTGAATCCGTGTGCATGCGTTGCAGATTGTTCTAACGATTGATCCTCTAATAGCCATAAAAGAATCACCTTGTGGTTTACTGCTGCAATTAATGAATTGTCCCAGTAAATTCACAAAACTCCTACACACTGCATGTACTGTAACAGTGTTGGAATTACTGGCTGCCTTTTCACAGGCCCACAAGAAATAAAGAATGGCAAGAATCTACGTGAGTGTAGAGAATTCTCCAAGAGAAAGAAAAGGGCTTCTGCAGCCTTTCAGCTGGTGCTGTAGTTCTCAGTGTGAACACAGGGAGATCACGTGAAAATGTAATATAGGACTTCTAATAAAGACCCCAGGTGGCGCTGATATACTGTCTCACACAGAACTAGCGCTTGCATGTCTTGTCGACCCCAAGATGCCCACACAGCCGGATGTGAATGAGCTAGCCAGAGTATGAGCTGACGGTCTCTTTTCAGTACCAGAAGTC